TTAGTTAGTCTGACGAGAATAATATTCTATGACTAGAAATTCATTTATTTTCAAACCGACCCATTTAGTATCTATTATTTGATTGACTAAGCCTTTATAATATGGGGATGGGTCAAGGGCCAAATGGTTTGGCAATTCCTCATGAGGGGATGACTCGAGAGAATTTTGAATCAGAGCTCTGGATTTTTGGTTATCCTTCGACGTAATAATATCTCGGGGTTTGCAGCGATAACTCGGTATATCTACTATACGACCATTCACTAAAATATGTCGATGATTCACTAATTGACGGGCTGCAGGAATAGTCGAAGCCATACCCAATCGAAAAAGGATGTTATCCAAACGCATTTCAAGTAATTGTAGTAAAACTTGACCTGTTGACCCCTTGGCTTTTCTGGCAATCCGAACGTATTGAATTAACTGTCGTTCTGTAAGACCATAATGAAAACGCAATTTTTGTTTTTCTTCTAGGCGAATACAATATTGAGATTTTTTCCCGGAACGCGATTGGTTTCTAAGATCACTTTCAGCCCTAGGCCTTTTATTAGTTAGTCCTGGTAAAGCCCCCAGGCGACGTATTTTTTTGAAACGAGGTCCTCGGTAACGCGACATAAAGACTCCTTAATTCTGATATTCTTATTGAGTATTTACTATGTACTATTTCTTTTTATTTACTTACTTAATTGAATTTACTGAATTTCCTATTTAGCTTAGAATGAATTCTTATCTTTTATTTATTTCATTTTCAATTGAATTTGTTTATTGAATTCTTTTTTCCAGACTAAACCTAAACTGAACGAGATGATAAAGGAAACAAATTTTACTGAAGTAGTGTACTATAAAGAGAATGAAATGAATTGGATAAATACCCTTATATTATATATTTTCTATTATCTATTTTTCTATTTAAAAAAAGGAATCCTTTTCCTGATATAGTTGGAAGTTCCTATAACCTAAACTTAAGAAATTGACACTATTTCAATATTCTTTGATTTCAATTCAAAGGGACATTATCAATCATGTAAAAAAGGGAATCAAAAATGAAAAGCCAGCTATCGGAATCGAACCGATGACCATCGCATTACAAATGCGATGCTCTAACCCCTGAGCTAAGCGGGCCCCCATCACATAAATTTTATATGCAGAGGAATTCAATATCAATAAACCTTGGGAATCTTGGTTATGAACTATATATTTTATATATTTCTTAATATTTCTGATTCTTAGCTATTCCTAAACTAGATGAATATAGAATTAGACTTTCAAAATGAGATTTTTATTCTAAAACATAATGATTCATATAGGATTTCGATTTCTTTATCAGAATTATAATCTTAATATTCTTATTATCTTAATAATTATTAGATAGGGATAGTAAATATTAACTTATATTTGATATTTTTTTAGCTAGTCAAATTTTATTTTTCATTTTTTCTGAATTCACCTGAGATTTGAAATCATTTTTTTACAGTTCTTTTTTTTTTTTTAATTATTGAATTATATATATTGGATTTGAGTCTATATCTATATAATATAGATTTTTCATTCTAGATTGATTTCCAATTGTTTTGTTTACTGCGATGATGAGTTATAACTAATAAGACATTCCTGCGCTTTTATTCGTACTTTTCTTCGTAAAGGAGTTAAGACAAAAAAAAAGAATCGACCGTTCGAGTATTTCAAATTGAGTGTAAAAATGACAGAAAGAGAGACATATATCTATATTTCTATATTATGGGGGTATATATTCATCTATATTGAATTGCGGATACAGAAAAGATAAAATCATTTTAGACCAAAAACGCATCTCCTTTTCCTAGAATCTCCTTTTCCTATATTAGGTAAGAAAGCAAAGAGGAGAAAACGCTTTTTTGAGATAGGAATCAGTATCTAATGAATTGAATGGTTCGAGTATAAATGAAAGAAAGAAAAGAGGGAATGAGACATCACAACGAGATCTTCATCTCAAAACAAAAAGAAAGGGGGATATGGCGAAATCGGTAGACGCTACGGACTTAATTGGATTGAGCCTTGGTATGGAAACTTACTAAGTGATAACTTTCAAATTCAGAGAAACCCTGGAATTAAAAAAATGGGCAATCCTGAGCCAAATCCTGTTTTCCGAAAACAAACAAAAGTTCAGAAAAAAAGGATAGGTGCAGAGACTCAATGGAAGCTGTTCTAACAAATGGAGTTCGCTGTATTGAAGAAAGAATTGAATAATCATTGAATTGATTAAATCATTCACTCCATAGTATAGTCTGATAGATCTTTTGACGAACTGATTAATCGGACGAGAATAAAGATAGAGTCCTGTTCTACATGTCAATACCGGCAACAATGAAATTTCTAGTAAGAGGAAAATCCGTCGACTTTAAAAATCGTGAGGGTTCAAGTCCCTCTATCCCCAAAAGCCTAGTGGACTCCCCAACTTTTTATCCCATCCTGTTTTTCATTCTCATTGGCGGTTCAAAATTCCTTATCTTTCTCATTCACTCTA